TTTGGAAGCCCGAAACCTTTTATGGCATTCAAGTATTATGAATTGCACAAATACTCATTACTTGTAGAATTTGAGTTTGTTTTGCACACATTATTAGAGCTAAGATAAATTCTTTCATTCCCTAGAATCATTGTGGACATGTACTTATTTACCATGTCAACTAAATCAAGTATAGAAGTAAGAATGACTCTTTCTTAGAAATAACTTAAGTTATTTAAATGTTCTAGCAAATTTGGATATGTACTTTTAATAATGCTTGCAAGAGGATCAGATGACTCCTTTATTAAAAGGTCATCAGGAATCTCCACCAATCCATCTTCATCGTTCAATTCAGCAACGATACCATCACCAACATTTAATACCCATTTGGCAAATTGTTCACATTTTGTACGTGCATGGTTCTCAACACCCATCATCGATCTCATGTTCTTAGTTTGCTTCAATACTTTGCGATGAGACCATAAGAAGAATTAATTGTTGAAAAAACAATATCTTGTCTACTCTCTTTTCGAATAACAAGAAATATGAAATAAAAGGATAGAACTATTAACTCGTTTGGATATTATTATGATTACAAAATAGAATTTGAGCTAATTAGTATAAATAAGCAAATAAAAACAAAATGTGAGATAGAAAAAGTAGAAAAGTCAATGAAAATAGTTGAGCAAACCTCTTAGATTCACTATAAAACTGTGAGCAAAGTTTACAGTAATTACTCTTTAAATACAAACACACTATTTCATATAAATGTTGATCTTTTAATAGTAAACAGTACAAATTGAGTTTTTAACTAGGAATAATTATAGGACATATTTTTAAAATATAATAAATATTATTAGTCTTATTTAAGATATTTTATTTTAATTTAATTTTATATCTAATTTTATGTCTAATTATGCACTTTTAGAGTAATTATAGAAAAATGATTCAATTCCTTTATAAAATTATAAAAAGATTACAATATTATAATTAAGTTAAAATATTTAGATATTGTTCTTATAATTTTTTTTATTAATTTTAATAACTATGGGTGCTACTAATATGGGTGTAACCATTATTTTATAGTAGAATATATGAATATAGTCATCAAAGAAATTATAGAGTATATTATAATAATAAATTTATATTATTATTCTTGTTTAACATAAATATGATTTAATATTTAGTTTAAATTATTTATTATTATTAGAAAGTTTTCAAAAAAAAATTATAGGGTATATTATAATAATTAGTAAATGTTATTACTAGTCATGTTTAAGGTATTTTATTTTAATTTAATTTTAATTATGATTTTATCTTTGATTAAGTACTGTTAGAGTCATTATAGAAAAAAAAAATTCGTGTTAAGTCTCATCAGAAAGTACTTAATATAAAATATAATTTAAGATTTAGTTCAAATTATTTATTATTTTTTATTTAAATTATTTTATTATATCTTTAATTTAAATATTTTTTTATTATTAGAAAGTTTTCAAAAAACATATACTAACTATTACTCCACAATTTTATTGGACAATTATTTTTGGTTTTATTGTATCTCTAATTCAAATATTTTATTATTATTAGCAAGTTTTCATAAAGAATTATAAGGTATACTATAATAATTAGTAAATATTATTTTTTTAAAGATATTTTATTTTATAATAATTTTATTATTAGAAAACATATAATGTAAAATATAATTTAATATTTAGTTTAAATTATTATTTTTTATTTAAATTATTTTGTTGTATCTATAATTTAATTTTTTTATTTAATTTTTTTATCATTATCAAGTTTTAAATAAAAAATACTAAATATTATTTCATAATTTTATTATTTTATAGCAAAATATATAAATATTTTTATCAAAGGAATTATAGTGTACAATATAAGAATAATTTTATATCATTATTATTGTTTAATATAAAATATGATTTAATATTGAGTTTAAATTATTTATTTTTTTATTTAAATTATTTTATTATATCTATAATTTAAAATTCTTTTTATCATTAGAAAATTAAAAAAAACTAAATATTAGTACATAATTTCTCTAGACAATTACTTTAAATCTTATCATATCTCTAATTTGATTTTTTTTTTAAAATTATAAGATCTAATATAATAATTAGTAAATATTATTATTAATCTTGTTTAAAGTATTTTATTTTAATTTTATTTTATTTCTGATTTTTTCTCTAACTATACAATTATAGAAAATGGAATAGTATTTTTTTATTATTAAAAAATGTTTTAAAAAAATACTAACTGTTACTCTACAATTTTGTTAGACAATAATTTTAATTTTATTGTATCTCTAAATCAAATATTTTTTTATTATTAAAAAGTTTTTAGAGAAATTAATGTAATTAAACTAATTTACTCATTTACTATTAATAAAATTAAAAATAAAGGATATTGTAAAATTTATTATTTTTTTATTTTTAAAAATTCTTAAAAAAACCTTCTTGTGCCAAGTGTAAAGAGGTGGATTAGGTTTACTATATTATATAGATCTTTTTATTTATGTAAAAAATAAATAAAACACATAAAGAATTTATAGTAATTAAAGAATTCAAAATAAAAAATTATTAATTAAATTATTTATGGTGTACAATTTTTTGAACCTTAAACAAATAAATATATACGGAAGTAATATATGCTAAATCTTACCGATCTAATCCACTAGTAAAGTCAGGAGTTAGCAGTTTAACCAATCAGTAGTCAGATGCAACTTGCTTGCAATAATACAAATTCTTGTTGGAGGCATCTATTTGGCTACTGGCTAGTACATGCTTGCCACCTTCACATATTATTATATTTAAGGAAAATTTTGTTTTAGCATGCCAATCTTCTGTGGAATTGATATGGGTATTAAACTAAGAATCTTGCTAATTAATGTTTACATCGATTAAAGAATTAAAATATAAAAATTTCCTATTAAAAATTATAATAGGTATGTATTAATCATATTTTTAATGGTTTTTAAAATTTCTTAATTAATATCTTTAACGTCTGGATTAGTATTTTACTATTTGTCTTAAACTAGTCATTTTTGTAAGTGGGTATTAAACTATCTTCATTGCATTACTAGGAAAAGGCGAGGAAACCCACGTTTTCTCCTTGAGAAAGAAGCCAGACAATGTAGAAAATTAAGCTTCGTTTCATCATCAGTAACGTCACATAGAATTGATGATGGCATTCTAATTTTAATCAGCGAAGCTTCTAATCAATTACCACTCCGTACCTTAGATATGGCTGTTCTGTTTCAGCGCATCCAAAACAAATGGGAGCAAAATTTTAAAAGGGCATGAAGCAGCGTTAAAATTTGACCATTGATTATTAAAATTTTAATTTTTTGTTTAAATGGAAAAAATAATTATTTAGATAGTCAAGTTATTGGAGAGTGTTGGTTTCCAAAATATACAGAGCTATACATCATAGTGACCAAACATTCATATGGAATTTAGCTCAAATGGTAAGAGTGGTAAATGTTTTGAATTTTTGATAGGGATTATGAAGTAGGCTCAGTCCTAGTAACCTCTAAATTATTCATGTTCTATACTCAAATGCCTCACTCAGTTTTTTATGGCTTGATTGCATGTGATAAAATGTCTCATTTCCAATACGATGCAAAAACAAAAGGTCTTTCGAGTGATATGATGAAAATTTTGTCTGATAGATTTGAACGGTTAATTTATAAATATCAAGTATATGTTAGTTTCATTTAATTTTATGAGTTCTTCATTTTAATTAAAGGCTCTTTGTTAGACCTTGAGTATCAAACTTTCGACTGATTATGCAATTTTTTTTGTACATGGACCGATTATGCAAATTGACTCAGTGTGAAACTGACTCTAATTAACGTGAACTAGTATCAATTTAATAAGCTTGAACTGATTTTATTAAAATCTTTAAAAAATAAAAAAGGGTGTAAAATAAAATAAGTATTTAACTAGTATATATTACACTATCATCTAATAATAAAATATCATGTAATTAAATATTATTACTTATTTAAATAACTATATCAAAAGTCATATTTACAGAAGTTTTTTATATAAAATTTTATACTAATAATATACGAAAATTAAAAATTAAATAATTAATAGACAGAAATATTATAAAATAATAATGTTATAAAAGTATTATATAAATTTATTTTATTTATTACATCCAATGACTGATCTAAATTTAACATTGACAGGCAGGGAGGTCTCTGAAGTTTCTTTTATGAATGTAGTTTACTCATTAATGGATGACTTCACAGATGTATAATTTTATGATGTAAATACAATGACTTTGCTAATTTTTTGCGTGTAAAGAAATTAATTTTACTATTTATTTTGATGTAAAAGATGTAAAATATAGTAAAGTTTAACACACTTAATGAATAATTAAACCTTTTAAAAGTGTTAATAAAGAGTTAATTCTTATCCATGTGCAAGAAAAAAGGCTTGACTTTAATAATCTATTTCCTAAAAAAAATATTAACTTCAAACTTTAAAAATAAATTTAAAAATTATTCATTATAGTAAAAATATAATAAATGTTAATTTAATAAATTTTATTATTAATGATTACGTAAATTCAACACTAAAAAATTATGTTAACATTCTTCTTGCAAATAAATAATCTAGGAATCAAAAAACAAAAATCGTAGTGCATGCGTAAAAGATGTCAAAAAGAAATAATGAGTACTACATTATTTTCCTTCTTTTGTACGCGCTTCCTTGTGGATCTGTGGTCAGAATGAAAAGCGAGGAAAAACCTTATCACATTTACTTTTTCATTTCAATTTTAAAGAACTCTCGAGCCATATTCTATCGTCCAATTTAAACACATTGTCTTTTTCTAAGAAAAATCGAGATAATTGTGAACAAATTGAAACAATTTCACATCTCTCGAACAAAGCATTAGATCTCCGGATCACACGAACATGAGTAGTTTTGCGTACTCGATCAGAGATTCCGACGACGGAAACGAAAATTTAGCACAAAACAATATTGTAACTAAAAAGAATGACAAACTGTTTTATTCTTTCAATTATTAGATGTACAATGAAATCATCAAGGTCACTACATACACGTGTGAACACCAAAACAATGAATCACCAAATAATCACGAAGATCATCATCAAAGGTCACCCCTCCAAAATATCGAATGAACAAACACATCACCGAAAATTAACAGTAGAAGACACATAAAAAAAACGAAAAAGAAAAAGAAAAGCTACTCAACAAGAGCAGAGGATAAATGAAATAGATCCCGTCCGTCCGTCTATGAAAAAGAAGATCAAGGGCTCAAGTGCCTCCACGTGGACGAATCAAGTACATCAATGAAAGTTCTTCTAAGCCAAGAGCATGGCAAAGAGGGTACCCATGAGAGCAGTGGCAGTAATGAAGTTGTTTGCGAGGGAGAATGCAGCAGAGGGTGGTGTTGCCGGTGGTGGCTCAGAGCCTCCGGGTCCGGGTGCAGGACCAGGAGGGGTAGAAGAGGGAGAGTTGGGTGCTTCAGAAGGAGAAGAAGCCGGTGCTGCCGGAGAAGGAGGTGACGGTGAAGGAGAAGAAGATGGTGGAGAAGTGGCGGGAGTTGGAGTAGAAGTAGGAGCAGGTGGTGGTGAAGTCTTTGGTGTCGGTGCAGGTGCTGGGGGTGGGGTTTTTGGTGTCGGTGATGGGGCTGGTGCTGATTTGGGTGGTGGTGGGGTGGTTGTCGGTGGCTGCGTGGGTGCTCCTCCTGGAGCTTGTGCTAGGCATGAGCTAGCCAAGAGCCCCAACACCACAAACAATTGTACTACACCAGAACCCATGTTGTGGTTTCTAGAGAGAGAGAGAGAGAAACTGAGAAGAGAAGAGTTGAGCAGGGGCAGATGAAAAAGGGAACAGAATATATAAAAAAAGGAGAGGGGAGAATGGGTTCAAAGGAGTGGAAGGGAGGACAGCGATTAATGATCAATAATGCTACGAGATTCCTCCAACTCCAATGTCTTAATTTAATTTGCTCCTATATGCGCACATACAATTTATCTAATCATATTGTGTAACTCTAATATATATTTATGTTGTACAACTTGCATTCTATCGTGGACGGACTAAGGGCGGTGTGATGTGAGTAATTATGGGTCAACAACACTTTTTTTTTTATCTCCATTTGAATTTTCTTTTAGGACGGGTACAAATTCTTCTACTATATTAGTGTAATTGTGCCAATTATTAGCTGGCAGATGTGGATGCTCGTGCTGTGTCCAAATTGGGGATTTTGCATTGGGCACTATGATTTTTGTGAATGTGTGTACTTAGTTTGTCTTTTTGTCCATTGTAGTTGTTCAATATTACCTGAACACCCCTTTGGGTCTGGGACATGTGTCGGTTCAGATGGTCAGTGAGCAGTCGCTGTCTCCCGCCACCACTGTGTACGGTTTTTCCAGCCATTTTCCTAATCCTACTGCGACCCCTCCCACTATGTCTTCCGCGTTAACCTTTTCAACAACTCAGGACGTCGTCCTTCCATTTTACTACATTACCCTCACTTTCTAACCGTTCATCTAGAGTTCCCACGTGTAACCTTTTTAGTCCGTCGATGGCTTCGGTCGTGTAGTCGTAAATCAGGTCAAAAGCGGGGTCCTTCACACGTGTTGAGGCCACTCTTGTCTCTTACCTGATAAAAACTTTTTTATTATAATTATATATCAAGAATTTTGGAATCTGAAATAAAACCGAAAGAAAAAAACTTGTAATTGCTAACCCTCCAGCAGACGAAAAGGACCTCTTCATTTTACCCTTCCCATTTTGAATTGTAACGTCATTTTAGATCACATATTTGATAATGGGGGTAGAGAAAACAAAGAATAATTAAAACCAACCGTTGCAAATGGAAAACAACTAACAAGGTGATTTTCCAACTCCTACAAATAAAATAATAATATAGATGATATTTATGAAGAAAGTATCGTATAGTGCATGTTTTGTTGTCGTGCCAGTGATACAGTGATGTTGAGAACATGGTGATGGAGAAGGACTTAGAAGACCAATGTGCAGCTGGAACCAGAGGGAAACTGGCATGATAACACTACACGTGCTGCGAAAGGAATAAGACGACCATGTGAAAAAATGTGGAAATCCAAGGTATGGCGGTGTCATTTTTCGGACTGTAAGGGGCAAAGTCTTCCCTGGGGTGTGTGTTTGTTCTTAAATTAACTTTTAATGATGAGCTGAGAGCTGGCAAAAGCTGGCAATTATTAATATCTTAATAATATAGGTTAGCTTGGACTTTTGCAATTTTTATGTTTGTCCGTTTTGCTTGTAAAATACGGGGAAAGTACAAAGGGGGGTTTGCCAAACCCACCAATGAATGAGTCCAATTATCATGGTTTTATAAATTTATTTTTATGTGTTTACGTATATGCATAATTTCTTTTTATCAAAAATAATAAAATATGATATATTAATAATAAGAATTATTATATATTAATTTTTGTTGTATATTTTTAAATATACGTCATCAAAAATGTCATGCTATTTAAAATCCATATTTCCATTTCAATGGAATTGAAAGCTAGTTTGTTTCAACAATAAAATACACGCATTTCCTTTTCATGGAATTGCATCCAATTTATGATATGTGGAATGTTCGATCGTTCCGAGCCAGGTAAGAATCAATTAAAAGAAAGAAAAAAAAAATGTATTGTACTACAATTTTTTTTTCATTATTTTCCACGTTGTACTGCACATTTTTTGGGGATACATGGGTTACAATCACTGTCACTGTATACTATATTTTTCAATACATTTAAAGCTATTCATCATATTATTAACAATGAGACTTTATAATTTACTTGATAATATTTTGAATAATATGATGTTGAATTTATATCAATATTTTTCGTTTTAAAATATATAATTTAAAAGATATTTTAATCTTATAATTTAACTATATATAATATTAAAATTCATTTATTATACTAATACATTAAAATGGTTAAGTCTTACCCTCTATATTATTTGGATATTGATTGGACTGAGTTTTGATTCAAACAATTAATCTTATCAAAATTTTGGGTCAAATGAAAATGAAAATAAAAATAAAAATAAATCTATTTCAACTTGTCTCATAAATACTCATAGATGCGTGCATACAAGTAATGTACTTGTATAGAAGAAAATATATATATTTTACAGATCCATAATTCTCCCCTTTAATTTTAAGAATCATTTGTGTGTATAAAATACGAAGTAACAAAATAATTATATCTAATATTAAATATAATGTCCATTAAAAAAATGAAACTAATAATCATATAGGCTTCCTTTTCGCAGGTGCAACAGTATTCACTTTCAATATTTCCCAATGCGCTGCTAGCAAAACGAAAAATTAACACTCCTTTCCCTTGACATCAAGTAATAGGAAATTAAAGGTTCGTTTCTTTTACACTTAGAATCATTATTTTTAAGTAGTATACGTCTTAAAGTAATATTTATAATTAAGATTGATTTATAGATACATCTTAATTATATAATATTTTACCAAAAAAAAATAACTTTGAAATAAATTACTTTCAAGTGTGAGATTTATTTTAAAGTTTTTTAATGGAATTAAAATATGTATTTTAACTAATTACTATATAATTACATATTTTATATTAAAAATTTGATAAATTTCTCTAATTATATAATAAGCACGCCCTATGAAGTAAAACTAACATACTCTTAATATGAGTCCGAGTGGCTGATTATTAGGGATAACTAGGCATGGTCCGAAAAAACGTATTTTGGTTTATGTGAATAACAACCTTAACAGTTGTAAAATAAAATAAAAAAAGTTTATTGAAATTGCAACATAAAATTCAATTAAATTTTTTTTTTCCAATTTTCTATTATAAGTTATAAAATATAATTAAAATGTATGTGTGTGTGTGAAACTTTGGTTATCAGTGATTACTTACATTCAAAACCAAATTTAATACAAGAGTAAAAAACTTATCCGTTAGTGGTAACTTTCATGAATATTTATTGGGTTAACATATATTTTCATTTTAATTTATTGTAAAAAAAACAAAAAACACTCTCAATTCGATCCGTTAAGGTTGTATGTGTAGTACATTATTATTTTTTTTAAAATATCAATCATTTAAACCATAGTGATGTTAATATTTCAAATGTTTTCTCTTTAAATTAATCCTTTAAAGATTTAATGTGATACTAAAATACTCTTTCATATAATTAAAATAATAAAAAATACAGCTATTTAAAATTTTACTTTAATTAAAAAAAATTAATATGATGATAATTTTCTACGAACTGAAGGTAAAAAAAAAATATTGAAAATATAAAACTAATGATTAAATTTTGAGGAAGTACAGCTTCAGAGTATTGAATTGATATTTTTTTAAAAAAAGTTATACACTTTAAAAGATAAAATTACACGTAAAAATGAATGGTTAAGTTTTACCAATTACTTTCACTCATCATACAGAAGTTCTCACATCTTTTCTATTCACCAGTTTTGTTTCTTATTTAAAAATAAATTATATATGTTTGCTATAAATAGACAATTTCATTGTGAAGAAAACAATAACAATATTTAAAGTGACAAAAATACTTGAGTCAAAATCACGTGAAACACGATATGTTTGATAATACAATTCGATTAATGTTATTTTCACATTTTATCACGGGGGTTGAGTTGGATGTAAAAAAGACGAAGATAAACCAAAAAAAGAAAAAACCAAGAGGGAGAGAGAGAGAGAGAGAGAGAGAGAGAGAGAGAGAGAGAGAGAGAGAGAGAGAGAGAGAGAGAGAGGAAGTGAAAAATGTAAAAAATGATATAATACAAAAGAGATCTACAAATAAAGAGAATCACAACTACAAAAGATTTAATTATCTATCGCATCTATTGTTTTAATTTATTTTATTTTATCTTTTAAAGTATAAACACCTTACAAAAGATTTTCCATTGAAATATACATCCTTGTTTGTTTCGAGCATGGAGAGATTTCAATCAGACATCGTGAAGGAGACCCAGATACTCATGTTAAGTTCAACTAACTCACATCAAATAAAGCAGCAATGACTTTGGTCGAGGTTGGACTAACTGAACAAAATTCCATGTCACTGCAATTTGTGACACTATGTACTGTCTTGTCAAGTTGAAAGAAGAACAATATAATAAGTACATTTTAGCCTAATATTTTAGGTTGAATTATGTTAACCATTATCAAAATTGTTTCTGTTATTATCAATCGTTTAGCTTCTTCCATAAGTCGTAGAATATCTTGAAAAGTGACAATAAATATCACTATTTGGATAGGTCATAGGAACCAACAGAGAGTATAAGGATAGCTACAAAAACATTGTCCAATGTCAAGACAGGTTCTACACTCTTCCCCAACTAAGCATGTCACTCTCCCCTCGGAAGTTTCCCCACCATATTTCAAATTACTAAAATATAAATAAGTAAATAAATACACAGCGCCGTATACGGTTAAAAAATGGTAGATGTCAAGTTTAAATATATTTTTACTTACAATTTTTTTAATTCAATACTTTTGTTTTCAGTAATTATGTGAGTAATTAAAAAGTGATCGCATATTAATTTTTTTGGTTATATTACTTTAGAAAGAAAAACTAAAATTTAAAATTAAAAACTAGTAAATATATAATTTTTTTAAAAATATATATTTAAGCTTTTTAATTTTAATCCATTCAATTTTTCATGATTTTCATTTTTATATTTGGATAATTGAAGTGTTTTGACCCCTCTCATAAACATAAGTCTATAAATAGTCAGTGGTGTGGTGGAATAATATTTTCTAATATACTTTTTTAACATACTTTTAACTATTATTAAAAATATAAAATATGTTATTAAATTAAAAAATGTATTTTTTTAAAATTTTAATAAATTTTAAGCGTATTTTGACATTTCTCATAACTAATATGTGAGATTCTCTTAGTTAATCATCTTATCATTTAATAGATTTTAAAGAATAATGCCTTGTTTGGATCTAAGGGTAAAATTGAGATGGATAAAATAAAATAAAAAATGAAATAGATAAAAATAAAATTTAAATAAAATAAAACAGTAGTCTGGATAGATTGAAATGTAAAAGAAAGTAATACGCTTAAAATATTAAAAAGACTTATTTATCTTTAAAAAGTTCTTAAAACATCCACTGTTATTCAACCTTTTTTTCCTGTCCTGTCATGATTTATTTTTTGGCTCATAGTTACGTTTCATGCCTTTGAATGTAGGAAATAAAAATGGTGAGCCTCAATGAAATTATTGAATTTCAATCCTTATTTTCAATGGATCCAAACTAAGGAAGTGAATTTAAACATTCATATTTTAGTCTACCCTTGTTTCATTCCATTGTATTTCAATTCATGTAAACAACTTGTAAAGGTGTTTTTCACATAAGTAACGAATAAGCTATCCAAAAGTTGGTAAGCTAACCAGAAGTTAAAATTAAAAATGAAGTTGATAACTTAAATAATTTAATTAAAAGTGTTTGATAAAATAGTTTATAAATAAAAAAATGATGCATAATTAATTGTTAGACTTAAAAATTTAATAATTTTATATATATTTTTAAAATGATTATAAATTTTTTAATTTATTTAAAATCATTTATCTTCTTAAAATTAAAAATTTAATTTTATTCTTATTTATAAATACATAAATTTATAATATTATTTTAATAATTTCATAGCAAGCAAGGCAAGGACCCCTATTATTTTTTCACTTTAATGTTTTATTTTATTTTAATAGAATTATGCATGTATATTCCTTTCATTTTTGTCCATCATGAGATTATCGACAACCCAATTACTTGATGGGTCATCCAATGAAAACGTTGCAGAAGAAGTGGGAACAGATGGACTCGATGATCAGGCCACAACAGTGGAGGGATCAAAGCCCAGCTACGGGCGATGATTATGGGGAAAATAAAAAAGTTCATTCCCAACACTGCTTTTTTGTTATAATCTCTGTGTACAAATGTTCTGTATTTATTGCGTATTGGATATAAAAGCTCTATATTCTGCTGTCTATATACATTGATAAATCATTTTATATTTTTTTGTATCTTTAACATAAAAAAATAATATCACAATTTTGATAAATAATATAGACCAGTTTGTAAATATATTTTATTGTATTACTTAATTGATAGAAATGAGGAAAAATAGGAATGTTTTGTTTTTACTTATTTGAATAAACACATAAAAAGGAATAGAAAAAAATATACTGCAAGCACCCAAATTATAGTCTAAAAGCTGCCAAAATAAAATATTAAAATCTTTGGACCTGGAGACCAAGAGAAAATATGACCCAATAAAGGTTGGGCATGAACTCATTGCAATGGTGGATTTGGATGGTCTCAGTGGTTGTTATGGGGCTATTTCTCTATGTAGTTGTTGATGGTTTATGCCTTAAATGGCATGACTGCAAAGGACCTATAGCAATTGGGTAGCTTCATTGGGAGTGATGAGTTGTAAACTTTGGCTGGGAGGCAATGAAGGAGCAAAGCATGGGGACAAAAAAGGGCAAAGCAAATCCTGCAATGGGGGCTGTGTGGTTAGAGTTAGAACAAAATATTCATGGAAGGTTGTGAATGAAGGCTAAAAATGTGCAACATGCTTTCTCACAGCCAAAATCTTGCCTTTAGGGAGAAGACATTTTTTTGGATCCCACATCCAAAAATTTGTCTTCCTATCCTTTTCAGTTGTCATCTAAGTAACGGAAATTCATCAATCTTAACCAAAATAACGAAAGGGTAAATTTTAGGTTGAATAAATGAATGCAAAAGATTTTAGAGATAATTCTAAAAAAATATTGAGAAGATCTTTTATGAGGAGAAAATATAAAAATATTAATAAGATAAAATAAATTATAATTATCTCAAAATTAATTTTAACTTATTCATCTTATAAAATAATTTATTTTATTCCTAATTATTTTTATTATATACTTCTACCCATGTTTATTTAAATACTTATCCAAACCCAAACATTATACATCGATACATTACAAAATACCTACAGTAGGCATGATGGATCATTGCTAGTTCTGTTTTTTTTCCCCTTAAAATGTGTTAGGGTGGACTTTGACTAATGGATTTCATCCCCTCAAGCACTGACTCAACCTTTACCCCTTGTCGTTGTAAAATTTATTTATAACAGCCCAGAGGAATTGAATCATACAAATTGTATTATCATTTTTCCAAAAAAAATATTATCAAATGCCCTAAGTATAATGATTAAGAAATAAATAATTTATTTTATTAAAGAGTTTAATTTTAATTAATATATTGTCAACTATTTAAGATACATAATAAGTATGATTTTCAGATTAATTATTATAAAAGTCAGATATTTTTTATTTGTATGATAACTTATAATTAGATAATAATATAAAATACTATTACACTTTCATATATATTTTAATTATTTTTTTATTAAAAAATAATGCAGACATATTTTAATGCATCAAAAATTGGTCGAATATTTTTAAGGGGAAAAAAAGCTAACATGATTAATATATTATGTTTAATTTTATTAAAGGAGATATACTTAAAAAATGTATGTATCAGTTAAGGATAAAATGACTGCCCCATGACATAGAAAATTTGCTGCAATTTTAGCATAAATTTTAATAAATTAATACTTAATTTGGTTATTTTTCTTGGTACATATTTTGATAAGTATTTATTGCTACATTTTATTGTAAGGGTTGCAGATTGTTTTAGTAAATCACCATTTAAATTCTGACGCCCTTGATAGATGAGGCAGAGAGAAACAGAAAACTGTTGGTGCTTGAATCCAATGTGAAATGTGTGTAAGAACACGTGCCCAACTAATCCATTCCAGAAACTTGTGGTCAAATGATTTAAATGATTCCGAGAGTTACTAGAGGATTCTTTTAAATCAAATAAATTTTGACAGAAATAAAGTTTATTTATATATTTTTCACTCTTTTTCATACGACGTTATCTATTACTTTCATTCTTTAGAGTTTATTTAAACATTTAAAATTAGTATATTTTATTAAAAAAATTACATTAAAGATATGTAAATGCTAATTTTGGTCTGGATCGCACATTTTATTAAATAATAAATAATGAATTTAAAAAAAATAAAAAGTAATTAAAAAGATACATGATCAATAAAAATTATAAAAATATTATATAAATAATAATTATTGTTTCTATTTTTAATTTTAGTTAATATATAAATATATAAAATAAAATAAAAATAATTAAAGTCTAAAAAGTGTACTTAATTTTTTTATTAGGTACTAATCATATTATAAATACTGTAATTGTTTAAATTTATTTTTAAATTTTTAAATTAATACATTCTGAAATTAAAATTAACAAGCAAAAGATACAATTTTTAAAATTAAAATACTAATAATCTAGTTATGTTCAATAATATTAAATAAAAATTAATATATTATGATATTTTAATTCTAAACGCAGTTCAACGTCATGAGTATGTGAAAGAGAGTTAAAATCTATGATCAAGTTCCAAAATATTCGGGTGGATAAAAGTGTCAAAACTTAAATAATTTTTGGGACAGGTAGCAGTACTTTATTAAACTAGTGGGGAGTTTTGGTAGGTAGGAGTAGTTATTGAAGCAGTTGAAAATACTCAGCTACTTCGTTAACCCCACGAGTTTTGGAAGCCCAGCACTTGCTCGAGCATTTGAAATCCCTCACGAGATCAACCTTCTTGTAAGCTATAAGCAATGGAAGATCAAAGCCAGATAAAACCTCGAATTCTTTGCCTCCACGGATTCAGGACCAGTGGTCAAATCCTTAAGCAACAAGTCTTAAGATGGCCAGAAAATGTACTACAAAAGTTGGACCTCGTTTTCCTCGATGGCCAATTTCCCGCGAGGGGAAAATCTGACGTTGAAGGCATTTTTGATCCTCCATACTATGAATGGTTCCAAGGCAACGAGGTTGTAGGAACAATGAGTGTTACTCCACATGCAACATAAATTTAGTCATGCCATGCTGCTAATATTTATCTATTTGTGTACAGGACTTCACTGAGTATACTAATTTCGAAGAGTGTTTAGCTTACATCGAAGATTACATTGTGAAAAATGGTCCTTTTGATGGTTTTCTGGGGTTCTCTCAGGTGCGGTTATATTATTATTTAACTTTATGCATATCTTGTGATTCCATTTTTAATTAATCAAGAATGTTACTCAGGGAGCAATTTTAGCAGCTGCATTGCCAGGAATGCAAGCAGAGGTACTTAATAGAAACCCATCTTATATATTTATTTTGCCTCCATGTTATGATAAAATTAAAAAATTTGGTTTGATTAAAGTGAGTGATGACTTTAGGGCGTAGCACTTGGGAAGGTGAACAAGATCAAGTTCCTGATTTTGATTTCAGGAGCAAAGTTTGGTGAAAAGAAGTTTGGAATGCCTAAATTGGCTTCGAATGCATTTTCAAAACCAATCGAGTGCCCGTCTCTTCACTTTATAGGTACTTTCAAGAAACAGTCCCTTCTGATTCTTTTGTTCAAGTATATTTTTCTTCATATATGATATGATATGATATGATAAGAGAGCATATATAATAAAAGAGCATGATATTAGCAAAAAAAAAATAAAAAAATAAAAAGAACATGATTGAATGTTTTATTATTATTTTTATCTTTATTAAATTAATGGGATACAATATATTTATCTTACAGTTTTATTTTATTTTTCTTTTTAATATAAATTTTATTTTGTAGAATGGCTTAAATTATAAGTTGACAAGATAAAATTATAAAATATACAATTTATTAATTTAGTTTTTATTAAATATCAAATAAGATAAAAGACTGTCTTATTCTTATTATATCTTATAATTTCTTCTACTCTTATGTTGATTAAATACATCTTTAGTTTGAAAATAATGTTGCATCTAGTGTATTGTAATTACGATTTTTTAATGCGTGCTTACTAAATAATAATAATTATTAAAAAAATACATTAGATCCAACGATATCATGTAATTTTAATATAGTGTCTATATATTGCTACTATTTTGAAGTAATTTTTATTTCAAATATATTTATTATTATTATGATTATAAAAAAGTATTTTAAACAAATCACTTGAATAAACGTAATGATATACACCTAAAAACTTACTTACATATGGATCGATTACTCTTTAAAAAAAAACTAATATAATTATATGATTAAATTAATTGGAAAAGGATTTGGTGTAAATTTAAAAATTTACACTTAATTTAAATCTTTCATTTAACTTATATCTAACGGATTATAATTTAATTTTTATTTATTACTTCACTAGTCATTATATATATAAGTTAAATAAAATATTAATATTAGATATAAAAGTTTTTAAATTAAGAAGATCTGCCCTCAAACTAATTAATTGATTATTATACTTGATTTGTGTTATTATGGGATGAAGGGGAGAAGGATTTCATGAACCCAGAGAGCATAGCTTTGTTGGAAGCATTCGTGGACCCTGTTGTGATTCACCATCCTAAAGGGCATGGAGTTTACAGACTTGGTTAGTGGTTATAAATATATATTGGTTTTGTGAATATAAAATTCCTGAAATTGAGATTTTGGTTTGCTGCATCTTTGTTGCAGATGATAAAAGTACTGAAACTATGCTCGGTTTCATTGAGACGATTCAGAGGATACCACAGGATGGTCATGGCAAGACTTGAATCTCATTTGTCCCTATTATTCTTACCAAGAAATGAAACTTCATCCAAGCTTTAATAATAATTTCCTCATAATAAACTCGTATATGTAAAGGCAGCATCAATCGATGCTCAGTTTCATGTGGATCTACTTCATTATCTCATCGTTAATGCATTTAATTTTAATATCACCAATTAGAGAAATGTACCATCTGAAATTATCCTTTTATACGACGTCCAGTATTACCTTTTGATGCAAAATTCATACGACTTTTAAACAAGCATGAAAATCAAAATCTGGTTAAGTAAAAATGAAACTGAATAATAAATTTAAGTGAAATTTTATATTTACTTTAAGTTAATTAAATTTACTTAAGTGAATTTTGAATTTTTTATAGTATCATCAATGGCAAGAATGTGAATTACTGACACAACATCTCCAAGACGAACTCTCAAATTAGACCTCGTAACCTCGTTCATCTTAATCTTTGATTCTTCATAATTCCTATCAGCAAGAGCTATGTCCCTCTATTTCTTTCCCTGCAACACAAATCCATAATAAATTCCACACGCCATTTTTCAAATTTCACCAAATAAAAATAATTAAAAAAAATTAACAAATGTCCATAATTTGTGAATTGAGCGAGAAGAAAGAGGAAGGTGAAAAAAAGAAACCTTTGATTAGAACAGTATTGCTGCAAAAAACTTAAAAAGAGTTTTGTCATAGTTTGAAGGTGCATTGGAACTACTATCGATATATCATCGTTAACGACAAAAGTTGCAAAATTAAAGCGAATTTAACATACTTAAATAAATTTGTAAAATTTCACTTAAATTTATTATCCAATTTCTTTTTTCACTTAAGAAAATTAGGATTTGCTTAAATAAAATAGTCTAGTTGCATCACAACAGGAGATGCTCAGAATCCAAAAAGTACATATCGTCTTATAAAATTTTAATATTTCTTCAACATTATAAAACAAAAGAAATCAAGGGAATATATATTTAGAGAATAAATTTTATCAAAATTTGGGTAGAATTAATTTCAATTCCTTACTAATGTAAAAAAATGTAATATCTTATATGATAATTTATTATTATATTGTTAATAATTTAACCGGTATTGAAGTTGCTAAAGAGACAAATTCACAAACCGTATAACAGAGTTTATTAAAGAATGTTATGAATGTAATTGTTTTCTTCTTTTGAACACTAATCATATAAATTAATTCTGACCGGCAGGTTTCCCTGCCCAGCTGTGAATGTATCAAAATCAACTTGTCTTTCTTATTCCAAACAGCGGACACTATAATCTCCATTCCACAAGTTTCATCTACATTATTAGTTTGTTTTCAAACTTAGTCTCAATGATTTCAACGATTGAAAAAACTTGCTGATTAAAGTCAACATGATGCGTGAAAATAAACAGAAGTTGACCTCTTGTTTTAAGACATGAATCTATTCCCCCTCTTAATATTATTAGTCACTACGTACACCAAAGGCCTCATTAGAATTTGAATGAAAGCCCATGTCCTCATAATTTCGATGGTTAGACAGGTCTTTCTTGCTGTACAGCTATCTTATTCTGACAGGTGCATAATGGAGAACAGAGTGGCAAGTCTCAAACTAAAACAAACATTTTTTTTTTAAAATTTTCAAGAACTTGCAATTATCATATGAACTAAATAAACCTAGTCCAATAACCATGTGGGTCTGACGCGTAGAAGCACGATGCACTGTTAACTATTAATTATTTGTATAATTAGTACAAAATGTCAAAAAGATGTTTAATTAAGAGGGAGACATTCGCTAAAAAGAAACCCTCAAAAATTTCTTTGTGGGGCAGTGATTAATCATTACAAACTCATACTAACCCAATTCCTTTTTTCGTTTATTTCCCCTCCTACACGCTTGGCTGAAGCTTCTTAGTTCAAACTTTTACTTAAACGAATAATGTCAGTGCCTTATGGCAAGAGATCATTTGCTAGACTTTTCAATTCTTCTTTCTCAGTGTGGAAAAACCACACATAGGCCGGTTTTAGGGCCTGGCGGTGCACTGCCACAACAAATTAATAGCAATTTATGATATCTGCAAATTGGGTATATTTGGGTCATGGCCTATATCAGTGGTGGACCATCATCTACTATGGCCTTTGATTAATTCACAGGCCCGTAATACGTGCTTTGTAGTGGTTTTAAATTTAATTCAACCCCTCTCTGACACTGCAGAATGTGGGGCCAGATCATTCCATTTCGCTCTTTTGGCATCTAAGTAATGCTTTACACTAATAATATTTAGATTGCTATGATTATTGAACATGTAATGTCTTAATCAAGGAATCCAGTTAACTGTGCATAAAGCAGGTTTAGATGACCCACTAAATATTATCTTTCATTTGCACGCGGGAATGTCATTTCGTGAGATTACGCTTTATAGTTCTATCTTTAAGTGAAATTAAAGCTGCAAGCAAAAAGTGAAACCAAAGCAAAGCAATTATTTTAGGGAAAGCATGCAATGTAACCCTTTAAGCTTATGCTCAACTGCCCCAAAACCATAATTGAAAGAAAATTGATCTTCGGCTCGGAATTACTATTGAATCAGCAGATAAAAGGTCAATTCATGAACAGAATAACTCAATTTTTTAATACCATTTTTACATTTCTTAAGATAGCTCTGTGAAAATGGATACCTTCTGATGTTGCTTCAGAATGGGTTTAAGTTAATGATGTGCCGTATAAATATATTGCCTCCAGGGTTTTCAGTGCTGGAAGATATATTTTACCATTTAAAGTTGTGATCAATGTACTTGGGCCTATTATGGATTGGAGTTGACTCAAATATTAGATATTTTATTTTTCTTAAGTAATATTTTAGATATGAATTTTGTTAATAAAAAAATTATTGAAAGAATTAGTTTCATCATGTTGTGGATGTTTTTAATTCAAATAATTTTGTTTCCCTAAATGTAAATTTATCCACTGTGACTCTTATAAGTTTTTTTTTAATCTTATTTTAATAAATTTTAAAGCATAATTTACAAAATAATTTATTTTCAGCTTATTCTAAAAAAATTTATCATTAAAGATATAACATACATCATTGTTTTTAAAATTTTAAATAAACAATTATCCAATACTCTGTATAATTATAAAAGAGAGTGGGAAACTATGCATCCTCTCCCTGCTCTTCCTTTTAAAGTTTTCCTTCTAATTTTCCAATTAGCAGTAGATGGAGGAAGGGAATATTTGAGTACCTCTACCACCTATGCATACTGTCCTATTTTAAGTGGAACAGTGTCAAAGTGTTTTATCGTACTACGATAGTGGCCACAAGCATTTAAACCAGTTTATTATGGCATTGTCATACCACAAAAGTATGCAATTCCACTGTTCCATTAAATCATTGCTCTTCTTCTCAAAGTTCTCTCGTTAAATGATTCGGTAGTTTGCTTCCCTGACAATTCTCTAACAAGTTTGTGGTAAGTGAATGTCGGTGCGTGCTCTATGAACCTTAACTTTGTAGGGCATTATGTGCCTTAAGTTTTAGCCTCGATAAATGTCTAAACTTGCTATCATTTTCTGGGCCCATTAAAAATATATACTAATATAGTTTTTTTTTATTATTTTTTTTATTAAGAGCACTTTTGAGTGTAACCTAGTATTTGTTCTTATTGCCTCTTAATTCTTTAATCTTTATTGCATTTGGTGGAAGGTAGATAACAGCTAGGGATGACAATGGGTAGGGTATGGGTAGAGTACTACAGTACCTATTCTTATATTCGCGTTTTAAAAAAATACCCGTACTCAGCCTCATACTTGCATGGGTATAAATATTAATCCCCGTACCCGTACCCTCTGGGTATCCGCATACCCGTCTTGTATCCATTACTCGCGCTTGTTTGAAAAAAAAATATTTATAAAGAAAAATATGTTTATATAACTTCATATAAGTAGCATAATAATACAAAAATTCAATATGTAGTTGTCGAATAAGATACAAACATAGATAACAAACAAATATTCAAAGATCATAAACATTAAATGTATCTTAATATAATAATTTTCTAAACTAAAATTCTTAGAAACAATAAGCAAAACTAAACATACAAGTTATTTGTCAGTGATAATCCTATCTTGTGTGAGATTTGATTGATTGGTAATGTCAGAGCGACAACGAAATAGATCTGTACAATAGTTGTCCCTTCGTGTGGTATCACGAATGAATAACATTTCATAGTTGTTAAGTTTTAGTGAGACAGACATTGAGAATGAGAATAGAGTTAGAGTAGAGAAGTTCAATACTAACAACAGAAAGTGGATATATAAAATATTTTTTTTTAACTTTTGAATTTGAAATTGTAAGAAAAATAATAGATTTAATTAAAATAATATATATATATATATATATATATTAATACTAGTATTTTTTAACTCATATATTATACGAAAGTATTTTATCAAAAATATAAATTTTTGAAAAATTATTTTAGTGAATTAAATATTTATAATGTATATAAATTTTAAAAGAAAGAATTTGAATAAAAGATAAATAGTTACAATAAAATTTTATAATAAAGAAATATACATGTATATTAAAAAAATTATACTTTTTTATCTGAAAAAATTTAACAAATAAAAATTAACAATAATTTTTTTATATTTATATCTTTTCAAAAACTTATTTGAATGTGAATAAATAGTAAAAATAATATTATTTAGATTCAATAGATTATAGTTGTGCTTGTAATACATATGTTGCATAGAAAAATATTATTTTTAATTAAAATATAAAAATAAAATTTAAATATTATTAATAAATAATAAGTTTACGGTAATAGTAGGTGATTGTAAAATTTATAAAATATTTATAATATATTTATTATTTATCATTCACTTTATGATTTAAACATCAATATGATTTTATTAACAAAAATATTTGTGTAAAAAATATTTTGTGTCATATATAAATAATATTTTAAAAAAAGTCAATCTCATATTAACTAAGTAATAATTAAATTGTGTTAGCCTAATTAAATAATATAAAATAGTAAATAATTTTTTTATTAAAAATATAAACCAAAATAAATTTTTTGGTTTACTTTATTATTAAATATATTTTTATATTAATCTTATATAATTTCACATAAGTAATATAATAATACAAAAATTCAATGCATAATTGTAGAATAAAATTTAAGCATATATATATATATGCGGGTATGGAGCGGGATGGGTATTTAGATACTCATACCCGCACCTATCCCCATTAAAATTTGCGGGTTTTTATTCATACTCATACCCGTACCTGTATAGCGGGTAAATACCTTACCCATTATAGATAAATTTTGTGGATACCTATCAAGTACTTTACTCATTGCCATCTCTAATAGCAGCTTAAGTGTGGATGTGCTAGCTTTTATTTATTTATTTACTTTGTCTATTCGTTTTCGGAATACAACATCTCCAGGTGTCAATCGCCAAAAATGACTCCTTTTTTTTCTCTTTTCCCCGACTATTTCTCTCCATGTCTGGGCTGGGATTAATGATTAAATTTAAGCATAAGATTGTTTCTGAGTCTTCATATATAAGTTGTATTATTCTTATCTTTAATTATTTATGAGAACACCGGGAAGTAATCTCTTTAGTTGTTTTTTTTATCAACAAAAGAGAAAATTTTCATTCATGAGGAGTATAAGAGATATTCTAACCC